AACATGTTACTGTCAAATAGAGTAATATATTATTATTATTATTGTTTATATCAATTTCAACGGTAATAATTTAAAAAAAAAAAAAAGAATTTCATAGTCAACATGAATCTTATTTGATAGATCTTGATTAGATAATTCTAAAAATATTAATCACTGTGTTTGGTTTGAGTTTTCTGGATTAAGTTTTTTAAAAATTGAGTTTTTTGATTTTCGTATTTTTTTGTTTTTAGTAAATATTTTTAAAATTTTAAACATTTTTTTTACTTTTTTAGATACACCTTACTTAGATGTGTCTAAAAAGTAAAAAATTTGTGAAAAAATATTTTAAAAAAATAAGAAATACATAAAAATACAAAAAATGTACTAAATTCTTGTATTTTTTTTTATATTTTTGGTATTTAGTGAATTTTTAAAAGATTTTTTTTACAATTTTTTTACTTTTTAAGTGTATTTATGTTAAGTGTGTTTAAAAAGTAAAAAATTTGCATAAAATATTTAAAAAATTCAGTAAAAACAAAAAAACACGGAAAATAAGAGTGTAGAATTTTCTAAAAACTGTTTTTTGAAAAACAAAACCAAACAAGCTGATTAGTTTTAAAAATTGGAAAATTTGATAATATTCTTAGTTTTACTAAATAGGACTTATTGATTTAAAAAATCTTAGACAAGACCCGAGCTACCATAACATTTGTAAATAGAACTTTTAGATAATTAACGCTTTAAGCGTCAAAGACAATTTGACTATCCTGTGATAGGATAGTGATGTTCATAACTGAGAACAAGGCAAGCAAAACCTATGGCTGCAAAATTATAGTCGACAGAAATCAAAATACAAATGCCTTTCAATGGCTTTATATCTTCAATTTAGCGCTTTTGCTCGCATTTCTACCATTTCTCCTTAAAATTCAAAATTTCGCGTAACAAAATGCATAAACCAAACAACTAAGAAAATGGACCAAAAACATGGCACTTATTATTATGGTTCATGGAAACTCAACATGTCAAGGGCCCTTTTGATTTTACAAGAAGAAGAATTATTACTCACAAGCAATATTCCGCGAATGTAAATTTTCAGTCATTATGTTTTCAACAGAAATAAGTTTCCTAATAGTTTTTTTTTCCCTTAGAAATGCATGGTTTGAGTTTTTTAAAAACACTTTTAAAAAAATTCTTCTTTCTTGTTTTTTGAATTTTTTTTGTTTTTACTGAATTTTTTTAATATTTTAAGTATTTTTTTAATTTTTAGACGCACCTAATTTAAATACACTTAAAAAGTATAATTTTTGTGAAAAAAATCTTTAAAAAATTCACTATATACCAAAAATACAAAAAAAAAAAAAAACGAAAATTCAATATAATTTTTATATTTTTGTGTATTTATTAATTTTTTAAAATATTTTTTCACAATATTTTACTTTTTAGACACATCTAAAAAGATGCATCTAAAAAAATAAAAATAAAAAATGCTTAAAATTTAAAAAATAAACACATTGATAATACTTTGGCACATCTAACATTCAAAACTCAATTCAACATTCAATTCAAAATTTAAAAATTATGTTTTTTTAAAAATAAACACATTGATAAACACATTGCTTAAAATAATTTTTAAAAAACTTAAATCAAAAAACTCAAACTAAACACATTTATAGCTTTTTTTCTTTTTCTTTTTGGTTACATCGAAAAAAAAGAAAAAAATTAAAAGAATGGTTTATCACATAACTTAACAGATTATGGAGGAGCAATATTTATTTATTCATCATTGAAAACTATTCTTTTTTTTCTTTTTAATTGACAAACTACTTTTGAAAACAAAACCCATTCTAGTGATTCAAATTTTGCCACCTTATGTGCAGTGGTATGATAATACTGTGTGTTTGATCTCAATTTTCTACATTTAATTTTTAAAAAATTAAGGCTATTTGGAGTAACTCTGGAAACATGATTCCAGAGCTATTTTCAATGCTTTGTTTGGTTAAAGTTCTGAAAAATGAATTCCAATATAACATTTCAAAACTCATTTCAGCTTCTGTTTGACGAAGAGAGTTTTTTTTTAAAATTTTGAAAAGCGCGACTTGGGACTACCTGATCATCCTCCCGAACATCAAGTCAGTTGACCGAAATAGTTTTTTTTTTTTTTTAAAAAAAAGGGGGGGAGGGAATTTGTTTTTATTTTTTTAACAAAATAATATATTTTTTATATTTTAAATAAAAATATTTTAAAAAATTAATTCTAACCAAATATACAATCAAAAGTTATTTTAAAGCAGTAATTGAATATTTATTTTGAAAAAAAAATTATTTTGTTTGTAATATTTTCAATTAAAAAAATTATGATATTTTTTTAATAATTATTTTTTTGAATTGAATTTTAAAAAGAGTTTGGTTATGAATTTTGAATAGAATTTTGAATAGTGTTTTGTAAAATCGTAATATTTTGAAATTAAAATATTTAAAAATATTCAAAAAATTAAAAAATTAAAAAAATCATAACATATTTAAATATTTAAAAAATTAAAATATTGGTTTGAATTGAGTTTTGAAAAGAGTTTTGAATTATGTATTTGGTTATGGGTTTTGAGAAGTAATGATTATGTTTTGAATTGAGTTTTGAGAAATGGGTGTAGAATTATAATTTGGAAGCTCTAAACAAACAACACACTCAAATCAATAGGTGGAACTATAATTCAAAACTCTTACCAAACGAACTAACATTCAAAACTCAATTCAACATTCAAAACTCAATTCAACATGTCACATCTAACATTCAAAACTCAATTCAACATTCAATTCAAAACTCTTTTCAAAACTCTTAATCAAACAAATTTTCTACACTCAAATCATAATTCCAAAACTCATAAACTCAAAATACAACTCTATTCTCAAATTATATTTCTAAAATTTTACCAAACGTTACCTAAATTTTTTATTTTTTGTGTTTTTTTTTACTTTTAGTAAATATTTTTAAAATTTTAAATAATTTTATTATTTTTTAGATGCATCTTACTTAGATGTATTTAAAAAGTAAAATATTTGTAAAAAAATATTTTAAAAAATCCATAAATACACGAGAATACGAAAATGTATTAAATTTCATTTTTTTTTAAAATTTTGATATTTAGTGAATTTTTTAAAAAAATTACAAATATTATACTTGCTAAGTATATTTATGTTAGATGTATCTAAAAATTTTAAAAATTACTCAAAATATTAAGAAAATTCAACAAAAACAAAAAAAAACAAGGAAAATAAAAAAAAAAATTAATTTTCTGAAAAGTGAATTCTGAATAGGGATGGCCATTTTAATCCAATCTGCAAAGGTCCATCCATACCCGCCCGAATGGGGCAAATTTTACCCATCCCGACACTTATATGGGACGGGGGTAGATTATGTTTTAGTCACCTACAACGAGAATGCAGCAGTGGCGGCGGCGAGGGCAAGTATCACCTCCTTCGATCCAAACCCAACTCGATATAATTAATAGTATATAAATTACAAATACACTCCCTAAGATTTGCTTAAAATACGAATTGTCTCCTGTGATTTGAAAAATTACAAATACCTCTCTATAAAAAAAATTTATTTAACAAAATTAATTGAAAAAGTAAAATTTCTAACTATTCGCCTATACAATAATAAAATTATCTTAATATTAATTGAAATAAAATTTTAACATTATTAAAAACTATTAATTAAGTTAATAATTTATTAATAAAATGACCTATTTGTTATAAAATTAAAAACTTTAGGGGGCATATTGTAATTTCTAAAACTACAGGGATAATTTATAATTTAAATAAATCTAAAATGATGTGTTTGTAATTTACCCAAAATAAAAATATGGAGAAATTAATCATTGAAACGAACATAATTTTTTAGTATTGTGTTATCTTTTGTTTGATTTTGACTATTTGAAATGTACTCGAGTATAACAAATATCGAATATCCGTGAAAGTGGGATGAGGTTGAAAAATTCCACCTGTAATGGAGGTGGGGCAAGGGCAGGGGCAGGGGCGGGCCGGGGTGGAGGTGGAGTTTGTCCACAGGAACGAGGGAGAGAAATGGCAAACACGTCCAAACTTGCCCTATAACCATCCTAATCTTAAAAAAATCAAACCAAACAAGCTGATGCCCTTCCAACCACTTGATGTGACTGTCTAGATGAGTGGTAACTACCTGTTCAAAACTGACTGACTGTCTAGATGAGTGGTAACTACCTGTTAAAAATTGACTGTCTAGAGGAGTGGTAACTATCTGTTCTAAATTGAGATGCCAAGCCCCAAAGTGTAAAATATAATGCCCAAAACAATATAAACAACAATTATCAGAGTGGCGCAGCGGAAGCGTGGTGGGCCCATAACCCACAGGTCCCAGGATCGAAACCTGGCTCTGATAATTAAGTACAAATTTTTATAAATATTTTTTTCTTTCTAAATTCGATTTTAGGAATCATATAAAGTTTATAGAAAAGACATTCATAGCAAATAGATGAGATAAAGGAAAATGTTCCACAATAGGCAATGATTTAACACAAACCACCCGAGAAGGTACTCGGGGTCCTTGTTATGCCTTAAATGGTTGCCATTTTGCATTTTAAAGTTGATTTATCCAAAATGTGTTCAGATTCATTTTAAGTGCGGTTCCCACTAAGAAAATTGAATTTTAACCACCCAAGGCAATTTAAGATAAATTTCTTGGCAAATTTTCTAGGTTTCTATCTTTTCTGCATCGTTTAAAGGGCAGCATGCTGCGCAGAAGAGGGACCCCATTCTCCCCAAGAAGAGGCAGGTTGGAATAAAAAGAAAGATCACTCGATAGCACAATAGTATAAATTAAGGAAAAAACAAAGAATATTATACATAATTTTATCTAGAATGATGTAATAATAACAATCTTAAAAAAATTAGTCGCATTGATGGACCATTGGCCTTTTGTTCTTAAAGTGATAGACCATTGGACTTTTGTTCTTAAAGTGATAGGACACGAGGTTACCATATTATTTGGATCAAATAGCACTATTCGCGTAAATATACCATAGAACTCAAAAGAGTATTTTTTTTTTTAGTTGGGTTCTTAGAATACCACTTAAACTACTGATAAAGATAAAGAAGCAGAATTTGTGTGTTCCTACTTGGCTTCCTTGAAGATGTTTACTCTTAGTCTAATTCTAATTACAACAGTAAAAAGAGCAAAACTAGATTCACCTTGAAATCAAAAAACCCAAATTCCGAATGTAGGAAAAAGGAAGCACCAGTATCAGTCACCTCTTCCACTGCTTTTGACTAGGTTAGAATGAACCGGCAGTGTCGAAAACCTGCCAAAGACACATTTATATCAGCCAAATACACATTTATATCATTAACACAAACTAGTGTCCATTGATCTGTTTGGTTGCTAAGAATATCGTAGTGAAAATCATAGCATATGAAAAATCTTATTTCCCTATTCTTATCCTTTTTGTTTTCTGTTTTTTGTTTTCATTTTTTGTAAAACACAAACTTGTTTGATGAACTGTTTTCGAAAAATGCAGTGGGCAAAAATTAATGTGTTACTGATCTTTTCATTGTTTTTGTTTCCAAAAACATCAAAAATAAAACTTGTGGCCTATTTGGTATCAATTCTGTTTCTTTTTCCATTTTTTGGAAAATACAATTTTGTTTGACGAACCGTTTTTGAAAACTATATTGGAGAAAAATTTCTTAAAAAAAAATTTGTTTTCCAACACAAAAGTGAAAAACAAAACACAAAGAAAACAAAATCGAAAACAAAGCACACCAAACACTTCAGCCATTTGATTTAATTGAGTGTTCTATCTAACAACTTAAGCTAAAGCATCCAAAATTAGCAAGAACACGAGAAAATCCGAGAAACCAATACAATTCAATCAACAAATATAGCTTTCAAGAAGATTGTGACAAAAATACCCAAATGAGAGAAAAACAGATAGCGTACTTGGGTCAGCATTGATGAGCATTGCAGTGCCTCCAAAGCTACAAGTCCCACCACTCCTCTTGCTCTTCTGCCAATAACTATTGAAAGCATAAGAAGCATGAGCAACAATTGTGTCAGGTGAATAACAACCCCCATTTGGCTTGATCTCTTCACAATCAGCTCCACCCTCACCACAAGCATAGTCCAATGCCACCTGCAATGTCTCTGCTGGCACACTAGGCTTAGCCACACACCACACCTCACTCTTTTTCCCCACCACCGGCGGCGGAGCAGCCACCGAACCACCGCCGGAGGGGTTGCACGGCGGCAGATTGGGACCGTAAGGCGGGCTAGCAATCGGAGGTAGTGAAAATGGGGGCGGCGGAGAAGATATGCCGACTAATGGGGGGAGAGGGGTTTTGGCTACATTTACAGGAACAGAGTAACCAATCGGGGATTGGGTTGGGGCTAATGGGGTTGGCCTTGCTGGGAATGGTTCTACAGCCTTGGATTCCATGAATGAGAGCTTTCTGCTCATGGGTTTTGATTCTTTTTGGATCATAAGCACATTGATCTTGTTTAGATTGAAGAAAAACCCATGATTGTTCATGGACTGAGTGTGAAATGAGACCAATCTCAGTGTCTCCTCTGGGAAATTTTGGAAATTTGGAGGTGGGTTCACTGAGTAAGTTGAGTTAGTGTTCTGCAAGAAGTCCAAGAGAGGTTTGATGTATTTCTCACCCAATGATGGGTTCAAGTTCAAACAGTTGGAAGAGAAAGAAGCAGAGACTTTGATTTCTCTCTCCAAACCCCACCTAGTGAGAGAGTGGTAAATGTTCTTCAGCGATGGGAGGACCAAACCCATTTGGTGTTCTTGGTTTGTTTTGCAGAGGACAGTGTTGCCAGCAACAATGGTGGTGATTTTTGTGGCTGGGTAACAGGTTAGAACATGGGTTCTGACCCATTTTTCAGCTGAATCAATACTGTTTGAAACCTCATTGAGGCGTTCATGAGCCACAGAAACAGCCACAGGAAGACCTGAATGAGACAGTGATTGAAGGATTGTTAAAGATGAGTCATGGAGAGTCAAGTGTTCAACCGATTCTTTGCTCGCACCTGCAGAGAAAGAAATGAAAATGGGGTCTTTCAGAGGAAAAACAAAGAACGAAGAGAAAAACCCTGAAAAATGAGTGTAAATAAGAGTAGATTTGAACTGTTTTGGGTTGAGTTTTTGCTTACCAGTGAGACCGATGAAACCTAGAAAGAAAAGATGTGAGAGCCACACCAACACCATCTTCAACATTTTGGTTGATTTCAGAAGCAGAGTTGAATGCAGATGATCTATAGAGATTAGGCTGAAACTTTTTAGAAGCGCTTTTGTTCTCTCTCTATGGAGATGCTATATTGGTTGCTCTTCGACTAAGCCTATGTTTGGGAAGAAAAAGCCCAGGCTTTTTTTGGCTAAAATAGTCACAAAAAATAAAATAGGCTATTTTAGTCACAAAAAACAAAATATCAAATCCAACCCATAATCATTACAATCCTCTCTCACAAAAAAAGTCAAAAAAGTCAAAAAGTCAAAAAGTCATTCCCAAACCAGGCTAAAATAGCCCAGGCTAAAATAGCCAAAAAGTCAAAAAGCCAAAAAGCCAACCCACTTCCCACACGGAGTCTAAGGCTGCAAACAACTGAGCCGAGTTCGGTTCTGAAATCAAACTCGGCTAGTTTATTTATCAAACTTATTTATTGAATTTGAATTTATCAAACTTATTTATTGTATTTGAACTCGAACTCACTTAGATGCTAGGCTCGTTAATATTAATAAAATTTGAATTTGGCTCGATTCAGTTTGATAATTTTTTATATTATTTAAATAAAAAATATTATTTAATATATAAATAATATATATATAACACTCTATTACTTTAATATATCAAATTTATTACAACTGTATTAAAATTAATTTTAATGTTTATGCCTTACTTAAAAGTCCCAAAGACAAAATCATACTGATACAAGGTAGTACTAATGATGCTAATATAGATGTTCCTACAACTATTTGCTGGCATGACATTACTCTTCCAGATAATTAGATCACAGTCAATGAAAATTATGTTCATCCACTCAAACTAATTTTGAAGTAATTCCTCTTGTTAATCCACAATTATTAACTCTTAGTAAATATTTTACTCAAATCTTAATAAGTTTCATGCTGAATTTAAATCTAAAAATAATAAATTAAAACGATAGATTTATCGAAGTACTTATAGTATATAACAACAATCCAAAATAATTAAGAAATGGTATAAATTTATGAATGAGATTGGTACCCAAGTCAATTTCTTTGACTATCTTCAAATTATTATTAAAAATTAAATACTATTACAAAAACTAAACGAAAAACTTTCTCAAATACTACTATTTCTTCTAGTCATCCTCCTTTAGAAACCATCCTTATTAAACATAAACGATCATTTGTGCATGCTTCTCCTTTTAAACTTCCTAGTGATGAATCTGAAATTAAAAAGTAATTGAACACAATAATTATATAAATCAATGTTTAAAAACTATTGGTAAACAATTAGATAAAATTAAAACTCATTTTGATGATTACTCAACTAGCAATATATCAACTAATAAACCTTTAGACAAACCTCTTATTAATCTTCCTAATACTAGGAAAAGGTTAAGTCTAGTTATTCAAAATACTAATACTGTTGAAGCTATTGAACAATTATTTACTAAATTATCTACCTCTTTTAACAAAAAAGAAATTACTGTCTTAACACAATAATCACCTTTAGAATTTACTAGTAACTCTGACACATCTACGAATGAAATTAGTCAATTAACAAAACAATTTCAAACCACTCATCTTAATCGAATAGTACATCCGAAAGTTAATCCTACTACTCTTACAAAAAATTGATATAATAAACCAACTCCACCTGATCTTCAATTTGAAGAAACTAATATTAGTAAGCAATTTTCTATTTCTGCTAAAAAATTATATGAATGGAATATTAATGGTCTTAGTGAAAATCAAATTCTTCAAAAGTTAAATCACATGCCTATTGTAGCTAATAGTAATCTTAGTAATTATCCAGACTATTATTCTCCCACTGATAATACTGATGATGATCCAATTGAACTAGAATGTAATGATACCTGCTGTAAACAAATCATTGTACTTACTAAATCCCAGCAAGAAGAAAATTCATTAATTAAATTAATTAGTAAACTAGACAATCCTGACTTAAAAAGAAAATATACTAATATATTAAAATCTTTACTAATGAACAAAGATAAAAAAAAAATCTCATCAAGATAAACCAATTATCAGTTTAACTTTAGAAAGATTCAAAAAAACTCACCATAAAGAAATAACCTTACAAGATTTACAGAAAAGAAATTGACCAAATTAAATTAACAATTAAATAATTAAAAACTAAAGGCAAATCATTAGAAGAAGAAATTGCAATACTAAAAATCAATAAAAGTTGTAATGATTTCCAAAATAATAATGATACTTTCTCTGATGAATCTAGTTCTAGTCACGATCCCGATCATGTCATCTTTGATAATCGATCAACTAAATCTCATCATGATAATGACATTCACGATGATAGTAATCGTTTAAATATTGTTAATAGAATTAATATTCAAAAATGGCATTCGAAAGTCAAATTAGTTATTAATGATTTTGAAATAAAAGTCTTAGCCCTAATTGATACCGGCACTAATTTAAATTATATCCAAGAAGGTTTAATCCCCACAAAATATTATTATAAAACTAGTGAACAATTAAGTTCTGCTAATGGAAGTCAAATGTATATTAAATATAAATTACCTAAAGTACATATTTACCAAAATAATGTTTGTTTTAAAATATCGTTTGTTTTAGTTCAAAATATGACAAACAAAGTCATTTTAAGAACACCATTTATCTTTTTATTATACCCATTCACTACCACTAATCATGGAATAACAACACAGACTTTTGGTCAAACAGTAACCTTTAAATTCTTATCTCCTCCTGAAATCAAAGAATTAAATCAATTAAAAAAATGTTACATATCTCAATCTATCAACTGATTAACCAAACAACTTAAGTTTCTTAAGGAATAAGTCAAATATAAAAGAGTTGAATGTCAATTAACAAATCTCATTCTTGTTTCTAAAATTGAACAATTTAAAACCCATTTAGAAACTATTCTACTTTACCTAGTACTTTCTGGCATAAGAAAAAACATATAGTTACACTTATTTATATTAAAAAATCTGATGAAAGACAAATTCCTATTAAATGTCATCCCGTTCAAATGAATTAGTCAAAATGTGTAAAAAAGAAATCAATGAATTACTTAAAAATAATATCAATAGTAAAAGTAAGTCATATTGGTCTTGTCCTGCCTTTTATGTTAATAAAAGTGCTAAACTTGAATATAGTATTTCACGATTAGTCATCAATTATAAATCTTTAAACAAAGTTTTAAAATGGATACACTATCCAATTCCTAATAAAAAAGATTCAATTAAACGTCTTAGTCAAACCATCATTTTTAGTAAATTTGATCTTAAAAGTGGATTTTGGCAAATACAAATTCACTCTAAAGATAGATATAAAACTGTTTTTACTATACCTTTTGGTCATTATGAATGAAATGTCATGTCTTTGGTTTAAAAAATGCACCTAGTGAATTTCAAAACATCATGAATGAAATATTCAATCCTTTTAGTCAATTTTTCATTTTCCTCCAGATTATTAAACATAATGGTTTAGTCATATCTGTCCCTAAAATTAAGTTATTTCAAACCAAAGTCCGATTTTTAGGTTATGATATATATCAAAGTACTATTCTTCCAATTAGTCGATCTATTGAATTTGCCTATAAGTTTCCTGATGAAATTTTAAACAAAACTCAGCTACAACGATTTTTAGGCTCTCTTAATTACATTGTTGAATTCTATCAAGACCTTGGGAAAACTTGTCTACCCTTTTTGATTGGTTGAAGGATAATCCTCCTCCATGATCTCTCAGTCATACTACTATTGTGCAACAAGTCAAAAAATATATCAAAACTTTGTCTTGTCTTGGTATTCTTACTAAAAATTCATTCAAAATTATTCAAACTGATACCTCTAATGTTGGTTATGGTGGCATTCTCCTTCACAGGGTCACTTCTAAGTCATCTGAATAAATTGTTCATTTTCATTCTGGTGTTTGGAACAAAGTACAAAAAAATTATAATACTATTAGAAAAGAAATTTTATCTATTGTATTATGTATTAGTAAATTTCAAAATGAAATTTTAAATCAAAAATTTTTATTACATGTTGACTATAAAAGTGCTAAATATGTTTTACAAAAAGATGTTCAAAATATTGCTAATAAACATATTTTTACCCGTTGACAATCTATTTTAAATTTCTTTGATTTTGATATTGAATACATTCGTGGTAGTCAAAATTTTATTCTTGATGCATCATGCCTACTCTTTATTGTTCTACACACAAGTTAGCAGTCACCCGATATGGCAAATTCATTCATTGTTGCTCATTATTTATATATATTTATATATTATTTAATATGTAAATAATATATTTATTATATAATTTAAATAAAGATAAACGAGTCGATCTTGACGAGCCGAGCTTAATATTCAAGCTTGAACTTGGCACATTTATTTAATGAACCGAGTCGAGCCGAGCCGACCCGAGTCAAGTCGAGCTTGTTCATGAATAATTCGATTCATTTGCAGGCTTATCTTCGACCACAGTCACGTAGTGTAGGAATGATGTTGTGATTGATAAAAAAATATAAAAATTTTCAATTTATATTAAATGATTAAAAAATATAAGAGATACGATCAATTATATTCAATAAGATATATGATCAGATGGCGCTCCAACCAGTAACAAGATAGATATGTCCGAAGCCAAGCATTGGAGTGCAAAACATGCCAGCAGCAGTTATACCCTGAATTTAAGAGTATACGTAAAATATATCCCATTCACATATTTCATTTTTGAAATATCTATTCTTTTCTTTTAGCGTCAAAGAGTTTTGCAATAGAGGAAAAACGCAACGAAAAATTATCACAAAGTGGTTGATTTTACAAGATTATTATAAACAAAATGTTAGAGACACTAAAAATGTATCAAAAAAAAAATTACCAAACACTCACATGAATATGAAACTTACACTCATGTGATTGTTTGGTAATTTTTTTGATAAATTTCTTGATGTCTCTAGCATAACTCTATTATAAATTTATGAAAAAAATTATGATTTTAATTAGAGAAATGTTATAATGTGCACCTTAAAAAAGATGCATACGCTATACCTTTTATAATTTTTTTAAAAAATTTCATAATTTAAACACAAAATATGATAATTTTTTCATTATAAAGTCATAAC